GATGATTCGGGAGTTCCACAAGGATCAGTCCTTGGACCTGTCCTTTCTGTAATGTATACTAAGAATTTGGTACAACTAATCAATAATCATGGTTTCTAGGACGACATTCTTATGCAGATGATACACAGCTGATCGCAAGTTATTCCCTTTCAAAAGCTGTTTCATTCTCTAATTATTCTGACATCAAATTGTGTACACATGATATTAAAGATAGGATGACAAGAAATATGTTGAAATTAAATTTAATTGAATTAAGTAAATCAGAATGTATTTTATGTGGTCAAAATAAACATCTGAAAAATACAAGTTCAAATGACGTGGTTGTAAGAGATGCAATATTTTTACCATGAGACACTGTGAAGAGGTTAGGTGTCCTCTTGGGGTCCAATTTGAGCATGGACAGTCATAATAGTGAAATTTGTCGAAACTGTTTTCTTTGGTCCGGGAACTTTATTACCCAGGAAGCAGCTGCTACACTTATATGTTCTTTGGTATTCCCAAGGATTGACACTGTAAAAGCTTGTTAGTAGAAACATCTAGTGCCAATATTAAAAAAAATCAACTTGTAGAAAATACCGCAGCTCGAATTCTTACCAGATCATCAAAACACTCTCATATTACTCCTGTTCTGAAATCAATCTATTGGCTGCCAATCATTTTCAAAAGTCTGTCTTTGACGTATCAGTATGTGAATCATTCACAGTGAATGGCTTAGCTCAAATATAATTATCTAACTTTATGCACATACAAGTTCCCTCAAGTAACCTCCGGCCGAACACACATTCATCAGTTTTGTTGCTCAAGGTGAAAATTAATATCATTTGGATACAGATCGTGCTCAGTGAAAGCGCCTAAACTGCGTAATAATCTTCCAGAGATCATTAAATCATCTCAAACCCTTTCTTGTTTTACAGCAAGACTTATCAAGATTAATTAAATTAATTTAATTGTATGCGCAGTGGACATGCTTCTGTACATGGAGTACATGCGCTATATAAATGTACATATTAATATTATTATTATTCGTCAGGCCGAAGTTAGATTTGCACTCCAGCATCCAAGATGGTGGATGAAATCAGCTGTTCATTTTCCCGTCTTTTGCACAAATAAAATGTGGTTTAGTAGCGAGTTATCCGAAAGAAACTATAATAGCATATTCCTGAAGCAATAGCCAGAGAAATGCCGCTCTGGCCATTGCTGGATTGACTTCTGATATTAAGTTTTTGGGGGAGTGTCTATTCTTCCCGTTCAATCAAATCGCTCCTAAGTAAAGTCTTTCTTTTAATCTGGGGTCTTCCCTAAAACTTTGGACAGTGATTTAAGGTATTAAAAACAGTGAAAGTTTTGTTCGTCTCCAAACAGTATTGTTTACATTGTAGCCATGTTGATAGCCTAGTTTGTCACGCAATTAGTTTTTCTGCGTAATAAATTTCGTGAATCATGACGTAACGTTATGTTAACATATTTGAAACTCTGTTTAAACCAGAACGATATTGTTACGCAGTTAGGTATTGGTTGTTAATCGGACTATTGACGAGTCATAATTTGGAACAGAAATTTGCTTTCATTACGGCAGTGTTGAGTGGGGTTAGGTCTAATCAAACTAAACACTGCGGGGAGTATGCTAAAATAGTGACCATACGCTCATATACAATTTGTTTTTTGTCTTTTTGAAATATCGCTTGATTCGTTTGTGAAGTATAGACAGATGTATATGACTAGTCATCCTTCTACTAGATCATGAGGTTATATTGCCGAATTAATAAAATGTTGACAAATAGTCTAGAGAGATTAATTGTATTTACCAAGAGCAGCTCTTTTGGCATTTACAGTAAATTAAGCTTTTCAAACTTCATCGTTTGAAAATTTTAACGGTGTAATTGTGAGCTCAGTTTTTGAGATTAGATACTTATTGGGTAGATAGATAGATTAATTTTAACGGTGTAATTGTGAGCTCAGTTTTCGTAATTAGATACTTATTGGATAGATAGATAGATAGATAAATAGTAATAAATATTTGTAGTTTTGATAATGGAACATTTTTTAAACTTGAATTTTTTTTGATGAAAGTATATAATCTGCGTTTATATCTATTTGTTTATTTCTATATTTATTATGACTTGCTCTTAATGGAACTGGAAACCACGTTAATTTGGTTTCAGGTGCCATGTTACACTTTTCAGTATGTAAATAAAGCGGTTTATTTTTCGTCATTTTTGTTGAAAATCGTTATTTTTGTACAAAAATGGAAATTATTTACTACTAAACGGGTCGCGTGCCACCCAATTTTTTTCTTGATCTTAATACTATAGATCATTGCCTTTTCAGTCAGCATTCAAAAAAATACTTAAACCTGCAGTGGGTGAGATATAGATAGAATAAAATGACATACTTAAATTGAGCTATTTTGGTACCTTGCAGCAATAAGTCCCTATACCAAAAACCGCGCCATGAAAATCCATCAAACTTTCAGAATGTATACTCACTAACCATATCTACTACGCTATAAAGTTTCATTAATCTACTCGCCGTAGTTTAGTTGTACGAAATAATTGAAAAGTGGCCTGAAAATGATGATTTTTTGGCTTTTTTCGGGTCTTAAATTTCAAAATTTTTTCTACGCTCTAAAAATTGTTTGATTGATCTAAAATTGTGGCAGTGGGGTATTGAGGGGTTACCCATCGTACATAAAAAAAATGGTGAAAATCGGTCACCCACCATGTGCCGGTCCCTGCATGGTTCTCTCGCAAACGCATTTTTAAATATATAATATTTACTGATTCTTTGTCCTCCCTACAAGCAATAAACAACAAACAGCTTAATCACCCATTAGTGGCAGACATTTATCGTCTGCTACTATCATTCGAGAGTACCAGCAAGGACATTGTCCTTTGCTGGCTCCCCAGTCATATGGATATCAAAGGAAACAATCAAGCAGACTCGGCTGCCAAGTCTGCTTTAGATCTTCCCATATCTGAATTTTTAACGCCATATAAAGATTTTAAATTTATTATAAATAATTTCATTTATGGCCGCTGGCAACGGTCTTGGGATCTTGCAGGCACAAATAAACTTCATCACATTAAGCCTCTTTTGGGAGATTGGCCAAGCTCCTATAGAACCAGCAGGAGGGATGAAGTTGTTTTGTGCCGCTCTCGCATTGGTCATACTTTTTTAACTCATATTTTCATTTTGAAGCGAGAGCCTCAACCAGAATGTGTTCACTGTCATGTTACTTTGACAGTAAAACACATCTTGATTGAGTGCAATCATCTCAAGAACGTAAGATCGAAATATTACCGTTGCCAGTCTCTACATCATCTATTTGCCCAACCGGGTTTATATTGTAACATACTAGACTTTTTAAAAGAGACATGTTTTTATCATAAATTTTAATTGTATATTTATCACTTCATTTTTGTATTTTAAATATTAATATGCATAAAAGGTTTATTTCATTTTTAATTTTAGTTACTGTGATATTGTTTTTATTTATGCATATAATACCTTTTCTGTGATATTTATTTAACTTGTCTCGCATAAATCACCATATGTTTGGCGCAATATAGCCCCGTTGGAGCTGACGTGCCATTAAACAACATTTCATTTCATTTCATTTCATCTAGGACCGAAAAACTGAATTAGCCAATGGCGGCTAACGCAAATTACTGAGACAAAAATTGTTCACATTTTTGCTCAAATCAGATGACCCTTTAGCAATGGATAAAATACCATAAAGAAATATTCATTAATAAAAAAAAAAATTTGTAAAAATTTAAATTTTCAAAATTTGGCGTCTAATATCTCCGAAGATTCATTGAAAAATCAAAAATCTAAAGACCCGTAGCTATGTGCCTTATCTCTGGCTATGTCAAAATGTATCAAATGTGAAAACCCGGCAATTATTGTTAATATTACGGCAATATTTAGAAAAAAAACAACTTCGGTGATTTCGGACATTTCGCATTGTCGCAGAATGTTCGAAATAGATTTAATCGCTAAGTCATGCCATCTTTCCTGAAAAACCAAAGATATCGGATTGATCCGACAAGTAGTTTCTGAGGTATACTCAAGAGTAAAAACAATCATCACTAAAACTGCGAAGCAGTAATGACAGGTTTCACCGGTGCCACGTTACCCTTGAACTTATGTCACTCCCGGTGCCATGTTATCCTTGAATTTATGTCATTTCCGGTATCAATGAAACCGTTAAACAGATTTCCACTTAAGCATTGCACAAATAGATGCAGAATCAACCAAATCTAGCAATATCAATTGCATCTATACATTTGTTACCATGTGTTACATATGACAAAAAAGTGATCCTGACAAAATCTGTTACTAATTACCGATAAGTTAGCTAACTTTCTAATGGGAAATTAAAATGGGAAAAAAATTTGTAAAAGTCATCCTGACGAAATTGGTTATTTCTCGACAAGGGAAGATGCTAGAAGCGATTTTTGGACATCTATATGATCCTATTGATCCAATCTATATGTCCATTGGAATCAAATATCATAATGTTAAACGAATAATAAATATAACTCACTTCAAAAAAATATTTGTTTTGAAAGCTAAAAATACAGTTTTTGACATTACTTCCGGTGATAATGAAAATGTTAAATTAGTTCTATGAAATCATAAATATAACTCACTTCAAAAAAATATTTGTTTTGAAAGCTAAAAATACAGTTTTTGACATTACTTCCGGTGATAATGAAAATGTTAAATTAGTTCTATGAAATCATAAATGGCATAAGGCATCACATGGTGAAAATTGTATGAAAATCGTATAATAATTTACACTTTCATAGACCAAAAACCTTGAAAAGTGACTTGAAGAAAATCGTCTTTTTCTCTGCATCCGTACAAGTTAGAAACGTTTTTATGGTATCTGTATGGTCGTATGGGTTCATTCTATTTGTTGATTGGAATCAAATATAATAATTTTAAAAACATTACAGATCAGACTCATTTGAATAAAATGTCTGTTTTGAATGCTAAAAATACAGTTTTTGACCAAATGACGTCATTTCTGGTGATGGTAAAAATGTTAAATTGACTTGACCTAGTCCAAATTGGCATAAAGCATCAAATGGTAAAAACAAATTGAAAACCGAATGATAATTGACTCTTTTACATTGCCTATTTCTCAGCAACCGCTCATATTACGAACTAATTTTCACATACATTCTCTTCGTATGGATTATTGCTACGAGTTTATGAAAGTTACGAAGAAATATTTTAAAATATCAAGACGCTGAATGGGTTGTAAATAGCTTAATTTTACATCGTTTTTCACCTTTTAATCGAAAAGCCCGAAAACGAAATCGAAATTAAGAAAACTGAGTCCGATGTTTTGTGCACATTTGCATGGAGCATCCTTTTGGTAATATCAAATTTTGAAAAAAAAATATTTACTTTCAAAAAGTGGTACCGAACTGTCAAATTATAGTTGTAGTCACCCCTGTCCGTCCGTCCACAATTGTTTGTGAACAGTCTACAGGTCACAATTTTTATCCGATTTCAATGAAACTTGAAATATAGGTTTATCACCCTAAGATCTCGGTTCCTTTCGATATTGGCATGTATCGGACTGTAACTTCATGGATTATGGCCCCTGATTGTACGAAAAATCGCATTTTTAGCTTGTGAACACTATAGAGGTCACAATTTTTATCCGATTTGGTTTATACTTGAATTGTATGATTATAACTCAAAGATCTCGGTTCCTTTCGATATTCGCGCATATCGGAACTTAACTTCCTGAATTATGGCCCCTGATTGTACGAAAAATCGCGTTTTTAGCTTGTGGACCCTATAGAGGTCATAAGTTTTATCCGATTTAAAAAAACGTATGATTATATCACCGTTAAACCCTAAGGACGACTGATGAAAATTAGCCCAAAACTGAGAGAAAAAATGGCCGCCCTTTGTTCTCAAATAGAGTAAAAATATGGTTATTATTTTATTCTGGTTCGAAATCTAAAGTAGATTTAAAAACATATCAGTCAAGTAGTTATGAAAATGTAAAGGATCTCAAAGAATCAGTTGTTGACTGCAACAGCGAAAATCTGTTTACTGACAATTTAGATTTACTGAAAATTACACAGAAATCTCAAGAATCTGTATCAGCTGAAAGTGAGAATATCATTCAACAAAGATATATTTTTAATATGAATTCACATTCTGTTCTAGAAGGAACTAAAAGTGATGTTGACAGTGGTATGAAAACTGAATCTCGTTCTTTTTTGTCAAGTGAAATGCCAAGTTCAAATATGAATCAAAATCGGGTGGAAGCTGACAGTGGGGAGAGTCTACTCATACCCAAAAGTCCAAAAGTCGCAGAGAACCTTGCTGATGACATAACAGATTTGTTCACTCCGATGAAAGCCTTGAATTTCAATGATGCCACAGATTCTCATATTCAACAGCATGCTGGGATTGATGAAGAATGTGATGATTGTACATCAATGGAAGCAAATCGCAAAAAAATAGAATTTATCTCCACAAATAATCAGGGTGTACGAATAATTGAAGGCCATGCCTCTCCTTTAGAAGACAAAACAAACCAAGGTTTCAATTTTCAAAATAATGCAGACAGTTTCCTTGCATCTCAGGATAATCAAGCAGGCATTTTTGCAGAGTCCCCAAATCTTTATGATAGTCTGGAAGAACATGAGGATGGTCCACATCGAACCAGGTACAGCCCCGCACCAAATCCTGTAGCAAGTCCACGGAACAGCGCAGCAGGGTCCATTCCTGAGTTCAGTTCTCAAAGATCTAAAGCTAGTTTAGAGTCCATATCAGAAGCAAGTCCTGGTAAAATTCAAACAGAGCATGATATGCTGCAGAGACCCATTGACAACTGTCAGTGGTCATTTTCTAATCATACGAACTCAAGTCCTGTATCAATCAGTGAGAATCAGGTTTCTCTGGAGGGTTATCTTCCTGAACATGGATTACTGCAAGGAGCAGTTGGTACTTCTCCTGGAAGTTCTCATTCATTACAACATGCGCGTTATATGCCTCCAGGGCTCTACAATTATACCACCGAGCGTCAAGTTCCGACAGCTCTACCAGAATACCATACAAACAGATTCCAACATAAAAACGAAAATGTCTTTCATTACGTTAACAGTGGAAAAAATGTTTCGTCTGATCAAATTCATCGTGCGTATTCTCTAATATCTGACTCTGGATCACTGCAAACTGGGCGTGACCATGGAAATTTACTACTGAATGTTGATGGCGATACAAGAGATAATACTCACGCCAATAGTGATATCAATGAACAAGAACACCGGAACCTTGATGAATTTCACTCACTGCTAGATCTTACATTAATGAGACGCCAACAAGCAACATCTAAAACATCCCTGCAACAACCTCAAAAACCAAATGAACAAAACTTAGCCAATCAGCATCAAACAGCTCCGAAATTATGCACAGAAGCAAAAGTTTGTCCGCGACATTTAAAGTATGAACAGAGACAGAATATAAACAACAGCAGTGAAACAATAGGAAAAACCAAACCAGACATGTCATCAGATAAGCAGAATGTTTTAGCAAGATATCCTGTAAATCCTAAAACACGCCCAAACGCTCAGGGTGGAAACGTCAAAGAAAAAAAGAATGCAAGGACAGGGAACACCCAACCTCGTTATAATCAAACTTCTCAAAGATCTTTTAATAGACAAACTGACACATCCACACAAGGTCGACAAATTCTACATTACAGCTCTGCAAGAGATCAAAATATTTCACAGAGCACACAAGGTAGTACTTTGAATTATGGAGCACCAAGAACAGGAAATGATGTGAATTATGAAAATAGGATTGCAGGAGTTGGCCAGGATGATATTACATGGCTACCAGATTCAGACGATTTTCCCATTTATCGCCAAGATCGGCATCATGTTACAAGTTTATTGCAGACGGGAAGATGTCAACAAAAGGAGGCCACTGTCGGGTATCAAAATAACGATCAGTATGTACCAGTGTATGCTAGTTCTGACAATGATAGCAATGATGTTGCCCTTGATGATAGATACAGTCCAAGGTCACGGGACAACACTACTAGAGGCCAATTGAAGAATGACACTAATCAGAGATCACAGGTTACTACTCGATCACTGCAACAACAGGTAAGACTTATTTCACAGTCATGCATTTGAGTTTTTAATGCAGAAGTTTTTTGAAAATTTGGTACAGCTGTCTTTTGATTTAATAAATTTATCTAACACCAAACAGATAATAAACCAGTCTCCCTAACTTCTTAGCTGTATCTGGATATGATGTCTTCTTCTGGTAGGTGTCAAGAAACTAGGAGGCCCATGTATCCATATTGTGTTGTATATTTCAGCCTGTATCTGAGGATATATTTCAAGGTGGTGGAGGTATAAATGTAGATATTATGGGTATGGAAGAGGTACGATCACATCTTCACTCTATATTGCGAGCAGGAAATAATCATCTACAAGGTAGATAAACTTTGATGTTATAGTCACTCATATTTGTTCGTCCACAGTTAATGTTTTGTTAACTGTGCACCCAACCTGGTTGTCAGTGGACCTTTACTTATTTTGTAATCAACACTCATTCACAAGTTTTACCTGGTAAAATAAGTTTTTATACGCCCACATTGAAATGTGGTTGTATGTTGTCGTTACCCCTGTCCGGCCTGCCGACCGGCCGGCGTCGACAATTTCAACGATTTCCGATAATTACTGCCAGTTATGGACCTTGATCACTTCAAAAAATCTCGTGGACACTCTAGAGGCTAAAGGTAATATGCGATTGACTTTAAATTTATACACAGTGTTTAAGGTCATGAAACGAAGAAGCCTATTGATTTTCAGTGATTTCCGATAATTAATGCCAAAGTTATGGCCCTTGATCACTTCAAAAATCTTGTGGACGCTCTAGAGGCTAAATTTATCATCTGATTGACTTTCAATTTATACACAGTGTTTAAGGTCATGAGACGAAGAAGCCTATTGATTTTCAGCGATTTCCGATAATTACTGCCAGAGTTATGGCCCTTGATCACTTCAAAAAATCTTGTGGATGCTCTAGAGGCTAAAGTTAATATCTGATTGAGTTTAAATTTATACAGTTATCTGTCGGCCCCGGAAGTGGCGTAATTTTACCAAAAACTACAATTTTGACAGTTAGGTACCACTTTTCGAAAGCAAATATTATTTATTTAATTTCGATTCCGTTTTTGGGCTATTTCGATTAAAAGGTGAAAAAAGGTGTAAAATTAAGCTATTTACAACCCATCCAGCGTTTTCATATTTTAAAGTATTACTTCGTAACTTTCATAAACTCGTAGCAATAATCTATACGGAGAGAATGTATGTGAAAATTAATTTGTAATATGCGTAGTTGCATGAGTCACTGTAAAAGAGTCAATTATTATTGGATTTTCATAAAAGTGACACCATTTGATGCATAATGTCAATTGTGACTAGTTCAACTCAATTTAAAATTTTCAATGTCACCGGAAATGACGAAATTTGGGCAAAAACTGTATTTATAGCCTTCGAAACAAATAATTTATTCAAATGAGTCGTATTTAGTGTTTGTTTAAGATTTTGATATTTGATTCTAATCACCTAAAAGAATGAACCCATACGATCATATAGATATCACAAAATGGTTTCTAACTTGTTCAGTTGCGGAGGAATAGGCAATTTTCAACAGGCCACTTTTCAAGGGTTTTTGTCCACAAAAGTGTCAATTATTATTCGATTTTCATGAAATTTTCACTGTGTGATACCTAATGCCATTTACGATTTCATACAAGTAATTTAAGATTTTCATTATCACCGGAAGTAACGTCATTTTGGCAAAAACTGTATTTTTAGCCTTCAAAACAGATATTTTATTCAAATGAGTCTGATTTGTAATGTTTTTAAAATTATGATATTTGATTCCAATCAACAAATAGATTGAACCCATACGATCATACAGATTCCAGGACAGTTACTCGGCTTGTCGGACGTGCTGTTCTCCGTATATGATGTTTTCCGGTAATAAATAGTCTCAAGGATAGTTCCAGTCTTTAGTTATTATCGAAGATTTACACTGTTAACAATAGCACAATTTGTAATCTTTTGTCCATCGTGTAACTATAATTCACGTAACTTGCAAAAGTTTTTCTTCATTCGTCGCTGATAGACAAACAGCACAATGATCACGTGACAACCACAACTGTGAAATTGCTATAAAATAAAATTCTGTACAACTATGATATAGCCTTCAATAATATTTTTAAAATGAAGCCTCTGTCAGCATGTGTATGAAATAAAAAATCATAACGGTAAACGCTATTTAGATCTGGTTTATTGACCTAATTCCAACCGATTGGTCACATGTCATTGGAATTAGGCATTTGAGATTCTGTCGGGAAAATACCCACTGTTTTTCTTTCCGTGTATGTATTCGGTGTTCTACCAGGGGATTATATTCAATCAAGATTTAAATTTACCTAACAACTGGTCAGTGAATCCATCAATGTATGATCCAGTTATTATTTTAATATTTACTGGTACCTAGAATTCACACGGACGGAGTGTAAAGACGTGCGATTCGCAAACCATGCTGAGATCATCTTTATTCGCCACGTGGCGTATTTTACTGAACCTATTATGAATTATCAGCAAGCGGGTTTTTTACCGGATTGTCAAAATCACCGTTAAATGTGCTAATTACTTGGATTATGAACCGCATGGCCGATTCTCACAAAGGTATGACTGTTGTTGTAGCCGACAAGCAAGTTGATTGACATCTTTATTACCCCGTTGTAATTTAGCCCAAAGTATATTGATTTATGATACCATAGTGGCCGATTCATTGTTTTACCAATCGGCTAGATTAAATGTCAAACAGCTAAAGTCGACAAAATTATGAACACTGTCAACATTCAATAGTCAGACTCAACAATTCCCTGAGATTTTTTTTTTTAGAAAAATTTTACACGAATCCTTGTAGTTTCGTGTGAATTTCTAGCCCTGGCATGGAGGAGAACTTTATAAAAGCCAAACAAATTCAAATGATTTTCTGATAATTACTTAATGAGTTGTTACTCTTAATCAGATTTTAGTGTGGGGGGTTGGATGGCCGAATGGTTAGCACGTGCGTTGCTGTATCATACGGTCTGTCATTGAGTCAACTGGCGGGGTTTCGATTCCCTGGTTGTACGTGACAAGGAGTAGGGTCGCCTGTCCAATCCTGTGGGTTTTCTCCGGGTCCTCTGGTTTCCTCCCACTGCTAAAGACCCCTATGCGCAAGCGAATTATTGAAATAAAATTGAATCATGTGTTAGTCCCGAAATGACCTAGTTTGTGTCGAGTGGACGTTAAACCCCATCTCTCTCTCTCTAGGTTTTAGTGTATTATAAATGTTTTCATTACCGAAAAAAGTAAAAATATGCGACAACTCTTATTGACTGCCAGGACGATTTAGCTGTTGTGGGCATATGTTTCGTTGCCTGGCAACCTATCTTTGAATTAATTGTTTAATAAAACACGAATTATCTGATGTCAATCTAAAATATCAAATAACAAATAAAAAACACTTAAGAATCCAATCCAAACACTCCCTCTTTTCAATAATATAGTATCATATTTTAAGATAAGTTGAAAGAGAATATAAAGTTCTTGTTTTGTAAATCTTAGGTCTGCCAAGCATAGATGCTAGTATTAGTCCAAGTGAACTGTTGATGGAACATCCAGCAACAATAAACAGAAATATTGACACAAGTTCTGTTATCAGGTTAGTCGTTTAAAACAGTCTTGTCCTACTGAAGGAATAATAACATATTTTTCCTGACCTTTCTCACTAAAACAATTATTGTTTTGTTGTCCCCCGTCTTTCAAAGAAAGGAGAGGACTTTTAAAATGGCTTTGTCTGTCCGTCACACTTTTTGGGACACAATAACTCTCCTTTGAATTGAGCTAGAATATTCAAACTTGCTGTAGGTGTTTATTAGGTCAGTTTCTTGACGGAGTTCGAAGATGAGCATTTTCTGCTTAGGGTAAGCAAAGATAAGCAATTTGATTGGTTGTTGCTTTGGGACACGATAATTTTAGCTCTAATTAAGTGAGAGTAATGAAACTTGGTGTATAGTTTCATTACATCAATACATTGACTAAGTTCGACAATGAGCATTTTCTGCTCAGTATAAGCAGAGCAATAAACAATTTGATTGGCCGAGACTTTGAACACAGTAACTCTCCTTCTAATTGAGCTAGAACGGTTCCAACTTGGAGTAAGTGTTTATTAGGTCAATGCCTTGGATGGAGTTCGAAGATGAACATTTTCTGCTTAGGGTAAGCAGAGATAAACAATTTGATTGGTTGATTCTCTGGGACACGATAACTTTAGTTCTAGTTAAGTGAAAGTAATGAAATTTGGTGTATAGTTTTATTACATCAGTACCTTGACTACTGTCTGTTCCAGGCGACACTACGACTCGAAAATTGCTTGCTATTTCTTCAATTTTTAATTAAAATGGTTAAAATTTAACGACCTACCTGAAATTGTCACCCCTTTACTTTTTACCGCACGTTAACTAATTTCAGACCAAGCTATATAACCTTTCTCTCTTGAAAAATCGTTGTTTATTTGTCCCCCGCCTTTCGAAGAAAGCAGGGGACTATTAAAATGGGTCTGTCTGTCTGTCTGTCGTGTCTGTCTGTCTGTCCGTCCGTCACACTTTTTGGGACACAATAACTCTCCTTTGAATTGACCTAGAATGTTCAAACTTGGTGTAGGTGTTTATTAGGTCAATGCCTTGATGGAGTTCGAAGATGAGCATTTTCTGCTTAGGGTAAGCAGAGATAAGCAATTTGATTGGTTGATGCTTTGGGACACAATAACTTTAGTTCTAATTAAGCGAGAGTGATGAAGCTTGGTGTATAGTTTCATTACATCAATACCTTGACTAAGTTCGATAATAAGCATTTTCTGCTCAGGGTAAGCAGAGCGATAAGCAATTTGATTGGCCGAGACATTGGAACACAATAACTCTCCTTCTAATTGAGCCAAAGGGTTCAAACTTGGTGTAGGTGTTTATGAGGTCAATGCCTTGATGGGATGTGAAGATGAGCATTTTCTGCTTAGGGTAAGTAGAGATAAGCAATTTGATTGGTTTATGATTTGGGACACGATAACTTTAGTTCCAATTATGTGAGAGTGATGAAACTTGGTGTATAGTTTCATTACATCAATACCTTGACTAAGTTCGATATTGAGCATTTTCTGCTCAGGGTAAGCCGAGCGATAAGCAATTTGATTGGCCGAGACTTTGGAACACAATAACTCTCCTTCTAATTGAGTTAGAATGTTCAAACTTGGTGTAGGTCTTTATGAGGTCAATGCCTTGATAGAGTGCGAAGATGAGCTTATGGTAAGTAGAGATAAGCAATTTGATTGGTTGATGCTTTGGTGCACGATAACTTTAGTTCTAATTAAGTGAGGGTGATGAAACTCGGTGTATAGTTTCATTACATCAATACCTTGACTAAGTTTGATGATGAGAATTGTCTGCTTAGGCAAGGAGCAATAAGCATTTTGATTGGTCAAGATTTTGGAACATAACAACTCTGCTTCTAATTGAGGTAGAATGTTTAAACTTGATGTAGATGTTCGTCTTGACTTTTTTCAATGATTAACGTATCGAGCTAAAGCTAAGCAGAGATAAGCAATTTCCTTGGTCGATGCTTTGGGACAAGATAATTTTGATTCTATCTGATAGAGAGTGATGAAATTTAGTGTCTAGTTGATAATCAGTTTGATTGCTCGATACTTTTGAAAAAAAATAGATGTGCGATTAATTAATAGGTGTCATCTATTTATTTGGGGATTTCGGCGGGGGACATCAGCCTCACTGTTGGCTTGTTTATTTCGCGGTAATGAAGACAGCCATGCTTGACCTAGTTATCTGGAATAAACCAAATCGAACCGGGGTGTGGATTTGACTTTGGGTCGTTTCGTCCTACTTGCATGTTTAAATAGTTGTTTCGGCTCAGCAGAATATAATTTGCTTTAATGAGCTATTTACGGGAGGTAATATAAATTTGCTATTTGGTTTCAGACCACCGTTGTTAACTCCACTGCCTTAGATATTTAATTGGCAGTCCCAGTCCCATGGCTTTTGGAAATTGATATAAACTACATACAAAGTTTGACTCCATATTGTAGTGACACGTCATGGAAATTTGGAAGTAGGCTAAATGACAATTCAAACGAATTGTCTATCTAACTTTAGAATAATAGATATATAACTGTCGATTTTATTTGGCTTTGTACGACTTTTAATACTATTTTCAGACCGCCAAATCGTGGTCTTGTAGCACTTTTTAGAAAGATATATACCTTGGTGGACCACCATAGTTGGCAATATATTGATAGAGTTTTCTTTTCTTTTTTAAAAGTTTTAATCCAATTGAAAGGGGGCGCTCCTAAGGTATTTTTATATGTAGCCTACTCTTTTTCTTGTTTGATTTTGTGAAATGTCCCTAAGCAAGTGATAATATGACAGAAAACGGAACGGCGTGTCAACTCCTGATAGATCAGGGGCACGTAAATGCGTGTGTTCAGACCACGGGTGTTCTTTTTTGTTTTACATTTAATTTATTCTTTTTGATTCATCTTGAACTTAATTCAATTTCTGCAAGTCTACCTTTTAAACAAGAAAACGGAAAATAAACTGTTTTATACAAATCATTTATTTACACAAATTCACAGAAAATTCCCCGACTATATACATGTACAATATATATTACGGAAGTTGTCTGGCCTACATTCACGCTATATCTATCATACAATTTATGCACAATATCTACACACTTCACCACACTTGCGCTTACATCAATCTCTTTCTCTGTACTTTCACATGCATCCACCTTTCACACAAATCACAGCCCACCCAATCCACAATCGCATCCGATTCACTTCCCGGTGGGTTCTCACAATCTCATACACTACACACGTTTATATCATCATCACTTGAATCTTCATTCGCAACACCACGGCCATCAATATTCTCACCAGCATTTTCACTATCACACTCTCCGCTGAAATTGTCACTCCCGAACGAAATCACGACTGGTGGTACTTCCTCATTCAATCTTCCAGCTTCCCAAAACCGAAACCCCACCTTGTCTATGACGTGTTGACATGCCTTAGCCCCGTCTCCAGTTGTCACACTAGCCGTGGCCTCCAGGAACAGACGCTTAACGTCTTTGATTTTAAAATTGGTGTTTCTTCGGGCGACATAGGCCTTTTCTTGTGCTAAAATTAAAGTATCCACCTTCTTATATACACACAGCATCGTCCACTTCCAAATGCATGTGATGAAAGGATGATCCATTATTCAAGGAATTATATTTTCTACGATTCATTTTTTTCTATCTGTTCTTCGACAATATCTAAAACAAATTTTGTGTGCCTTTGGAACGCGAATATAAATAAAAATAGATACTGTTAATCAAAACTATTTAAGTCCATAAAATTATAAGATATCGTACAAATTTACACTTTATCAGAAAGGTTACCATGCCATCTAATGCTGAAAATAAGTGTTCTGTGAGGAATATTTTAGGAGACATACAATACTATGAATATCTCTAAGGAATATTAAAATACCGGTAACCAAATAAACCTAAACACACACACTTACGCACACCAACACCCCTCGCATTGCCGCAAAACAAACGGGCGAATCCTCCCGCACAAATATTATTAACCGAATGCACCCGATTTGTGGAATACCTTATACCCCTACCTGATATATGAGTGACCCAACTTACGCAAGCGCAGTGATAATGTTTATGTTCTGAGAAATTGATTTGTGTCGAAAAATGTGAAATTTACAAGAGAATAAAGGATTTTATCGAATTTATAGGCGTTAAGGTTCGACGAAGAAAGTAATGGGGTGACAATTCAAGGTAGGTCGTGAAGTTTTAACCATTTTAATTAAAAATTGAAGAAATAGTAAGCAATTTTCGAGTCGTAGTGTCGCCTGGAACAGACAGTAAGTTCAATAATGAGCGTTTTCTGCTCAGGGTTAAGCAGAGCGATAAGCGATTTGATTGGTCGAGACTTTCAAACACAATAACTCTCATTCTAATTGAGCTAGAATGTTCACACTTGGTGTAGGTGTTTATTAGTTGAATGCCTTGATGGAGTACATAGATGTTTATTATTATTATTATTATTATTATTGTTCGATTTATATAGCGCTTCATTACACATGAAGTGTTTCTAAGCACATATCACAAACATTTACTTCAAACACACAGAAACAATCAAAATCAGGAGAACATAATTAAACACAATTAAACACAGCTGCCTGTTAGGCGCTATTATTCAAAGGTTTATATCCAATAAATCAACCGGCTAATCTCTATATTGAACTCAGTCGAGGTATTACCTGATGAACACCTACACCAAGTAGAGTTCAAAAATAAAAAACGAAGTTTAAAAGAATCAACTTCATTAACAAAAATTAAACAATCAAAAACTAAACAGATAAATCAAATTCAAACGAAACAAAGAAAACAAAGAAAATGAAAAGAGTAGTTCATTACCATTCTACATTAACAAAATAAAGGAAAACAACTTGTGAAAATTTTTCAAAAAATAAGAGCAAAGTAACACTAATGTTAATACTTTTTTAACGAACATATGTTATATAAAGTATTAATTAGACATTTATTCACATGACAAGCCAATAATCAACTCGTATCATGCTGTTACCATTGTTCACA